CCCCGCGTAGGGCTCTGTGCTGACTGCCAGCTCGGAGCCTGGAGCCTGTTTCAGAGTCTGTGTCTCCCTCTCTCTCTGACCCTCCCCTGCTCACGCTGTCTCTCTCTCCTAGAAATAAATAAAATATTAAAAAAAAAAAAAAGATTTCCTTAAAGGCAAGGTTTTCAGATTGGAGACTGGATTTTCCAGTCTGGACCAGATCAGGAACAAGCATCCTCTTCACAATGCAAAAAAACAGCAGTGGTTTTGTCAAATTCTCATCTCAGCATTGCTACTGAATAACACTGAATATTTTCCAAATTTTATTGTAGGTACTAATGAGCAAAATTGTAAAATCTTACCTCTTAGAGGTTTTGAGAGCAACGGATAATTCATAATAGAAAAGATAAAGCACAAGTCAGAGGCCAGATGTACAGCATTGTTGTCATAAAGGGCTAAAGCATGCTTTTTCGTTGGGTGGTTTTATGCCTGTCATGAATACTGTGAGACAGCTAATCCCCCAAGCTTCTTTGTATTTTGTACCTCTTCAGGGAAAAGTTTGTAATCCAGGAAAATGTCTGCAGGTGAATATTTGGAATGAATTTAATTTGCCAGTTACATGTTACTGAGCAGCTAAGAATGTTGCTGAATTTACATGCAACATATAAAGTGATATTGCAGTAGAACACTCTCACCGTATGGAAATTTCCACCTCACTTCAGGGGTAATCTCAATTGGATGAGGGCCAGATGGATTTGTTTATGGTAGTGGTGACATAATAGGAGGAAATGAATAGAGCACCTTCTTGAGTTGAGTTTTGCTAGTCATGTGGAATCAAGTTTTGGAACTACAGGCAGGAAAGCAGACTGCTTCTTTAGGAGAAGTCGGTGACAAATTAAAACCATTGCTTCACTTACAGAAGAAAGGAAGGCCACAAGGTAGAGGCTGTGGCCTGAAGATAAAAGCCGCCCACAAGTTTTAGTTTTGTGAGAAGAGAGAAAGTGCCCAAAGTCTGTGTGCTCATTTCTTTCATGACTTAGCCACAGTGTATTTTTAGGACCATGTTTTCCTTTGGCTCCTGTGTGGACAGAGTCCTTAATACATGAGTGAAAATTAAGAAGTGTTTTCTACACATCACTGAGGTTTTCTTTATATCTGACTTGGTCCTATTGCCCTCCTGAATGCAGTTACTGAAAAATTCTACAAGCCTATTTGCATTTGTAATATTTGTTCTCACTTGGAGATATTTTGCTAACCTCATTCAACAAATAGCCTAGCACCTTGGTAATGAGATTTCAGTGAAAATAGGGAAATCTCTTCAGCATTTATGAGTGTCATTTTCACCTTTGAGTTAAAAATTGCCAGTTAGAAGCAGAAAATGAAATTGACATGGCTAAGTTCATTGACTACTTTGGCTAGGTCATTTCTGTAGCCAAAAAGACCGCCTCTGTCTCATGTGTATCAGAGTACTGATTTTCATTGGCAAGAGCTTTTCAAGTCAGGAGAGCTTTTCAAATCTTTGTGCTCAAAACTGCCTTTTCTCCATGCATATTTGTCAAGGAAAATGGATTCTTAGAATATCAGATGACTTCTTTGTACGGTTAGATTCATGGATAAAAAAGGCATAATGATTTTTAAGAGACTGTGACTTTTCACAGGATCCTAGGTTGGTGAACTGTAATTTTGTTGTTTTCTTGAAGAGATTCTCTACTTAAATCATTTCATCTTTTAGGTGATCTTCAATAGACATAGATTTCCGAGTGTGAGTCTAGCACTGAAATTCTATGATCACGGTTTAGGAAATATCCATCTCTAAAAAAGGGGGGACGTGGATTTGAGAGGGGAGTTTTTATGAAGATGAATAGGCAAATTCAAAGTTAATCTATATTCAGTATGCTGACAATCATGAACATATATCAAATGTGTCTGTTGTAAATGCAGATTTTATTTGCATTCCAAGCAGATTCACACTCAGAATAGGATACAAAATGTTTGCACACGAAAAATACCTAGCTCTGTTGATGCAAGTTACACTAGGTAGGGTATAATGTTCAGAGAAATGAGTGATGTGCACAGGCAAGTAAGTTCAGGATCACAACATTTTAGCACGGCACCACTGTAATTTTTACCTTGTGACCTGTCTTGTGGCTCATAATTATTTTCTTCCAAGGCCTGCTTGTCATTTGACCAAACTCTTCAGGTACCCTTTAATTTCTTATAATATTTCTTCCTCATTCATCTCACATCAAGTGTTTCTTGAACATTTGGCTGAAGCACATGAAAGAAGCAGCATTCGCAATATCCCAAAGTTCATGTTATCACCCCTCTTTCTCCAGCTCCTTTTCCAGAAAACTCTGAAGTACTTTCTTCTTGAACTGTATCTTATAGCATCTCTCTCTTCTGTTCTCCCTCCCTGTCCTGTGATTAATTTTTTGCTTCCTATCAAAAACAAAAAATTCCTTTCCACTCTTCGGATCCAGATGATCCTGTATGGGGAAGTTGCTTTGATTTTATCCCAAATAGCAACAAACACAGTTCTGAGAAAACTTTCCTTTTTGATTACTCAGGTGATTCTCCTGTGACTTCAAGGCATAAAATGGGTGTAAACTTCCTAATTTACATGTCCCAGTAGGTATTTACTGTGTCAGAGGTTCTGAAAGATACAAAAAGCTTAATGCTAGGCTTCAGAGAGATTGAAATGTAAATGAGGTGCTAATTTAAATGACACATGTATGAAATATGTAATACCACTCTGTAATGCCATGTTCAAGTACCCACCACAATCCATTAGGGTGGATACTTTTGTGCTTCTCTGTGTTCACTGAGACACCCACAGTGCCTGAAATGGTTCCTGACACATGGTAAGTGCTCAATAGATGTGTGGAATGAAGTGCGTTCTACTTTCTAAGCATAGAATTAAGTCTAGTGTCCTCTGTTACCAGCCTGTTTCTGTAAGGAGAATATATGTAACACAAACAAACTCATTCATGATTAATGTGTAGAGAAAGGATATTAATAAACCGGGGTGGTTGTGTTGGTTCACAAGCAATTGTTGCCAGCACTTTACTATTTTGCATCACCAAGTAACAGCAGCTACAAGCAAAAACACAGCAGACTGCCAGTTGTGGAGAATACACAGTGCTATGGCGGATGCCCGTTCGCTCTGTGTTCTTTCTCTTGGATTGCTTTCGCCATGAGTTCTAATTTGGGAGGGCTTATTGTAAGGGGGAAATTCACCTCTTATGCGTCTGTTTTGTACTTCTCCTCCCAACGCAACAGCCTCAAACAATTCTCCTTCCAATCTCTTCATCAGTCAACCTCCATCCTTTTTTTAAAGGTAAAGTCCTATATTTATATTTACTGTAATATTTATTAGGAATTTAACATGGCCATAAACTCTGCTAGTGTGTTTTTTGGATCAGTTACTGTTTTTGTTAGTGTTCTAGTTGCAGTGTTACATAGATTTGGGCTCGTTTGTTGCTAACCCTATTTCCCCCATAAGCCTTGTTATTTCTAGCATATGATTTCACAAAATGGGAAGAACGCACACATCCTTTTATAGAAGAAATGTACTACAAACTTCAATTTCAATGAAGATAAGTAGGATTTAGCTGTGGGAGAAGATAAAAGAGAGCATTGCAGTTCTGGCAAGAGCATCAGCAACTCCCAAGTGGTTACAGTATGGAGCCTTCTGGGAGGAGGGAAGGAGTCCCAGCTGGCAAGTGAGGCTCTGAGGAGTGGGTGAGTGGATGGTTGTGAACAGAAGAGGTTTACATTCAGAATTCTCTGCGGCAAAGTGCCTCCGAGAACTTTTCAAACGGGAGGTGGCCTGCCTGAGCAGTGCTCTAGAACCATTACCCTGTGGCACGTGCAGATGGATGTCCGTGCAAACTGGGTCAGAGCAAGGAATGCGGGAGAGGCCACTAGGACCATTCAGCCCCCAAAAGGCGAGAAGGAGGAAGGTGGAATTGCACTTGGAAAGGGCAGGGCAAATGGAAAGTCCTTAAAATGAAGAATCAATGGGAGCAGCTATGGCAGTGGAACAGAGGTCCCGGATTGACTGGTAAGGCCTGAGTTCAGGCGACTGGTGGCTACAGGTATCCCGACCAGAGCCAGAGCAGTTGGGGACAGGAGCAAGTCTGACACGGAAAAAAGACAAGGAGGGTGTGCCCGGCCACATCCCCAAGTTTAAATCACAAGGAATATCGTCACCTTAATTCGTGGCCATTTAACTCTAGGTTTTGATGCCACTCTGGGGGTGGACGAGGGGAATTCGCGAGTCCCCTCTCCAACAAAGATGCCTTTTCAGGCTGTCGGCTGAAGTGCCTTAGGAATTCATCCTGAAACCGTATTTTGGGCGGAGGAGAGTGTTTCAAAACCCACGCTACCTATATATGAATATTCTTTGCTACGGCTTGCAGTTTCCTCACCTACAAAATCACAGGGCAAAGACACTCATGCCTGGAGCCTCCTCGCCGGGAGAGGAAGGTGAGGATGGGTCCAGGCAGCCCCATCCCCCCTCCCACCTAGGATTCCCGGGGATCACCAAAAGCGTTCTCGCCCCCGCCCCTGCCTGGGGAACTGCTTTGGGCGCTCTAGGGCCCGCGCTCCGTGGAGGGCGTCCGGCCTATCACCCCCGACTCCGAATCTGCAGCTCCCCGCCTGAGCCGTGCTCACTGCCGGCGCTCCTGAGACGGCTTCCCGAAACTGACCCCCGAAGGTTCCGCGCTGCGGCCCCGGGGTCCCCCGCAGGATTCCAGCAGGCGCCGCCGCCGCCGCCGCCGGGCGGGCGCAGTGACCCGCTCCCAGGCCCCGGGGCCTCCGCCCCTCCCCCCGGGGATCCCCTTTCGCCAACAGCCTCCCGGGCCCCGCAGGACACTCCCCTCCGGAGGCCGGGCCCTGTCGGCCCGCCACCACCCCCGCCTAGCCCCCGGCCGCCCCGCCCCGCCCGCGCGCCGCGGCGGGAGAGCCCCGGGCCCCGACCCCTCCCCCCGACGCCCGGCCCGAGAGCGGGACGGGGAGGCGATGGTGACTGGGCAGCGGCGCGGGGCCGGGGCCTGGGCAGCGAGGCTCGGCGGCCTCTTTCTTTCTCTGCCCCCGCCCCTCTCTCTCCTTCCTCCTTGCTAGCCCCGCCGGCGGCGGCCGAGGTCGGCGCTCCCGCCTCGTCTCCTCCCCCACCCGGGGACCCTCTCTTCTCCCCTCCCTCGCCCGCTCCTCCCGCCGCCGCCGCCGCCGCCTCCCTCCCCGAGCGGCTGGCTGCGAGGAGGCGTAACGGAAAGCCCCGGAGGGGGAAGGCTGCGAGCTCAGCGCCGGAGACGCGGAGCCGGGGCCGGGTGAGTTGGAGCCGCCGGGCCCCGCGCGCGCGCGCGCCGCAGGAGCGAGAGCCCGCAGCCCCGGCCAGGTGGGGCCGCGCGGCGCCGGCGGGGACACCCAGCCCGGGCACCGGCGGGGCCGTCGCGGCTGGCCGAGCCCGGGCTGTGTGTGCGGCGGCTGGCGCGGGAACCTCGCTCCGGCGCTCGCGGAACCTGCGGGGAGGGAAGGGGACCGTCCCCGGTACCGGGACGGGTGTCGGATGCTGGGAATGGGAGGGATCGGCTGTGTCTGCTCTCACCGCCGCGGCCGCCGGCAGCAGACGTGGAAACATTGTGCCTGGAACGGCGACTTGCCGGGGAGTCGGCGTGAGCCGAGTTCTCCCGCCGCCACCGGCGTGCTAGTCCGGCCGTCCCCGCGGGCACCTAGGGCGCACGGTCGTGGGCGCAGCTCGGCGCCGGGCACTGCGCGCCTGGTGCCGCGCCTTGGGGGTGGGGGTCGCTCGCTGGTCGCCCGCGTGGGGCCTGGAGTGTGGCGTGTGGGTCACGCCGGCCACAGACGTCAGCTGCTTTTCAGATCCGGGCTGCATTTTTGTGGGGCAGCGCAGTGATTTGGGGAGCTGGCTGCAGGAGGTGGGCGTGTAGCGGGGAAGACCACATCTGGGATGGGTGGGTTGAGCCCACGGGATGGGGTAAAGAAGGGGAGAGACTCCGTGTGAGTTTTCTGGATGTTTTTAGGCACAAATCCCTTCCATTCAGCGGTCTGGTGATCTTTGTATTTAGAAAAGCAAAAGGATTTTCTTCGACCCCGTTCAACTTTTCTCTTAATCCGGGAGGGTCCTGAGTTTCAGGAAAGTCCGTGAGCCCTTTCAGTGGGAGTGAATGAGAGTAAAGACAAAGTCTTATCCCCCACCCCCATCTTCACTCCCCCCCGCCCCCGGACCATTTCCTGTATTTCCCGTTTTCTCTCTGTGATTGTGTGCCTGCGTGGAGGTTGCCATCGGTGACCCACATGTAAAAGTGGAACTTCTGTTCGAAATCGGAAAGCAGCCCCTGTGGACCAGTGTGGGTTTGAGCTCGAGGGAGGAGAGGTCTGAGTGGAAGGGGGAAGGGAGCTGGTAGAGCGCTTTCCCAGAGTTAAACCTGAGTAACCGAGTTCTAAGGAGCGTTTATAATGGGCACGTTGCTTTTGCTTTACTCACAAGCTTGAGAACTCCACCTCCGCCAGATTTCAGTGAGGATCGATGCTAATTTCTTTGGCAATGCCCTTTCCTGCTTGCTTCTGATTCTTTTCTCCTGTTCTTCTGTAAAAACGACTTCTTTTCAAATTTAAGAGACGGGGAGCACATGCTAGTGTGGAGATTAAATGTTTTAAAGATAGAGGAAAGAAATAAAACCCAAGATGACCGTTTCATTTTGCTGTCATACTATGATAGGCTTGTTATTAATCTGTATAGAAATCTCATGCTGATGAAATATTTGAGGGGTTTGAAGTCATGCCATTATTATGTGATAATACTGCTTTTTCCAAGTGATCACACAGAGAGCAGGTAGTGTGTCTGGTTGTGGTTTGTGAAGGGTGCGGTGAACGTTTTATAAGATGCCAAGAAAGAAGACATGGTGTGTTGCAGGCAATGATGGGGGTGGAGAGGGAAAATCATTTATCTTTAGAGCAGACCAATTAGGAAGAATAATTACACTGCAAATGATCATTCTCAAATATAATTTGAATCATGATACACGAACCAGTAATTTGTCTTTAGTTAGGGAAAAAAAAGGATCTTTATGTATGAGAGCAAAGCAGTGCCTTCTGGAAAAAGTAACGTACACTGTTCATGAGTGTAGATGGGCTCAGAGTTGATGGCACCTGCTTACAAAGATGTGTAGACTGATGGATTAAAGAGCTTTCAGTGCACATAGCTGGCAGGGCAGGAAGGAAAATTCTGTAGTAGAAGACAGAAAAACGATGTATAGAAAAGGATATAGTCCTTTTTAATGAACACTGTATACAGCTTCTTACCTTCTTATTGGCATAGAATTGACAAAGGAGGAGGCCAAACTGTAGCAGGACCCAAAATGATACTGTTGAGTTCCTAGAGGTGCTACTTACTATCTGAAACTTGGACAAGTTATTTAATTTCTCCCAGCCTTGGTTTCTGTGTCTCTAAATAGGTGGTAGTAAGAGTTCAAGTCAAAGACTAACCTTGAAGATTAACTAGGATTGCTTTTGCATAGGGCTTAGGGTGGTACTTCCTGCTAAGTGCTCAGAAAACATTAATGGTGGTTGTCAAGCATTTCAAATGCCCTGAGAAAAGCGGTGCCACTCAAAGAGCTGGAATGGATATGTGATGTAGGGTAAGCTGTGGCTGCCTTGGGCAGACCCTAAGCTGAGGCTGTTCCCCTGCCTCTGGAAGCCCACAGGCGGAAATACTTGGTCTTTCTAGAACGTACCTGCTGCATCCTTTTGGCCCATTGTGGGCAGCCTTCTCTGGGACTCCAGTTCTAAGGGAGTGTGTCCCACAGGCTCCGTTTGGCTCTGAGGGCAAGAGCACAGGTGTGGTGTGCAACTGCAGGGCAAACTGACCCTGTGATGGCAGGTTCTCAGGTTTCTGGGCCCAGGTTTGAGGAATCAAACACAAAAACAAAAACACCCCCCCCCCCCCCCCCCAGCTTTAGTGGTGGACAAGGTGAATGCCTCTTTGGGAATCCTAAAAGCAACATTTTACTCAATACTTACTGCTCTTGGAAAGATACAAACAGTAAATCTCTCATCTCTAGAATTTGTTCCAAAAAGCAACTTTAAAGCATGTTTTGGGGTTAATGACACAGGGCCCAGTTTTTATGAAGGTTGTGCCTAACAGCTAAGTGAACAGAAGGCATTCTTAGCAAAACACTGGTTCTCAAGCAGGGCACCTATACTGGGTACTGCTCTTCTAATTTAGGAGGACCGCCTATGTGGTCGTTCATCCTTTCTTCTTCTCCTGTCATTCAGCAAATAGCCATGAAGCCCGTCTCATGGGCTGGGCTCCTTTTTGGCCTCTGGTGACACAGCAAGAACCAAGAGCAGGCTTCCTCCCTCCCAGAGCACCCATGCTAGTTGGAGAAGCAGACTGTGCAAAGGACCTCCGTCATCCCGGGAAACTCCTTTTAGGATTTCGAAGAGCCTGTGGTGGGAAAGCAGAGCACTGGTGCTCTGCTTTCCCTAAGCTTGCTTTCCCTAAGCTAGCCTGCTCAGAGGGAAGTGAGCTGGCTGCAAGTAGTGAGGGGGGCAGCCGGGCTTATGGGTTCTTCCGAGGGATAAGGGAGAAAGAGGCAGCTGTTTTCTTCTGTGCTACATACAAGTCTGGGCCCATTTGAGTAGTGGGTGAGGAGAACCACCAGCCAATATGCCAACATGCCATGAAAACACAGAGTTTTTTTCTCAAAGGTGAGATTTCTGAGCCTTAGAAAGGCAAAATTAAAGGTCACTTCTGGTCATCACCTTATAAAAGCCACATGTGTCTAGGGCAGAATCTGGTGTGGCCCTTGAGACGCCTCAGTGTCTCTTGCTGTATAAGGCATGACTGAAGCAGTAAAGGAAAGAGTGGATACTTGGTTCCTGCTTTTCTTTTTCATTACTTCTAAAAAGACATTAATACACAATGTGGTAATAATTGCATGTTTGGAGTCCAGAAGGCTTGCAAAGGTATAAGGTAGTCAGGGCTCTGATGGTCGTTGTGGCTACTGGAGGCAGGGTTGAGAAGGGTTTGGGTGCTGAGCTGAGGAACCTGAACTTCATCTCCAAAGCTGGCTGAAAGAGAATTTGCAACAGGTAAATGACATGTTTTATTGTGCCTTAGGAAGAATTTGGTGGCCATGAGATGGGTTGGGTGACATAGACACCAGAGTGGGGACAGAAGTTGAGCTGAGAGGCTAGTGTGGGAAACCTTGAGGGACTTGGAGAGGGAGAGGCCGGGAGAGATTGTTTACACTTCCTTGGTCATCTCTCAGTTGTGGACACCGAGAGGGAGTCCCGGATGACTGGTGTGGTCATGGCAGCATTCGCTAAGATGAACAGCTGTGGGGAACCTCAGTTTGAGGGGATGGTGAGGAGTAGTGAGTTCCTTTGAATCCCCAACTGAACCGGAGCCTTCCGGGGAGAGAAGCCTAGCAGAGAGCTGAACACACAGGCAGGAAGAGAGTCTGGAGTAGAGATGAAAGCTGGAGTTATTTTCATAGTAGTGGCGAGTAGTTGCCTGGTTTGTTGAGATTTACTAAACAGTGCTCAAGATGAGAGTAATTTGTATCCTTGTAACTGAATTTTTTTCTTTTATCCTTTCCACAGGCCTCATTGAGGATAATTAAACCTCTGACCTTGGCCTTAAATGACCAGTCTCTCACTGTTATTTTACAGACCTGGTGAGATCTGTTTATGTTATTTTGAACTGGGATCATTGAGAGGAATATATGTAGAATGGCTGTGACATACTTAGGAGCTAGGATGTATAACTGGTGAAATTGATTACCACTCCCCTAACACACAACACGCGTGCGCGCGCACGCGCGCGCGCGCACACACACACACACACACACACACACACACATTATAGACAGGCCATGTTCTTCCCCCAATTCATATGTGGAAACTCTAATCTCCAGAGTGGTGGTATTTGGAGGTGGGGGTGTTTGGGAGGTGATTAGGTTTGGATGAGGTCATGAGGCTGGAGTCCCTGTGATGGGGAATAGTGTCCTTACCAGAAGAGAAAGACCAGAGCATGTGAGCTCTCTCTCCACCACAGAGAGGAGGCCACCATTGCAAACCTGGAAGAGGGTTCTTATCAGGAACCAAATCTGACTGTACCTTGACCTTGGCCTCCCAGGCTCTCGAACAGTGAGAAAGAAATGTTGTTTAAATCATCCAGTCTCTGGTATTTTGTTATAGCAGCTCAAACCGACTATTACACAGGTATGTGTTGTGTTTAGAAAATGTAAGATGACCTTTTCTTGCCGAGGAAGTAAAGTAGTTTTGTGCACATCTAGAGAAT